GGTGTCCCCTTCTTGGAGTGGGCATCCCCCAAAAAGTGTGATGATGATTAATGTGGTTTGGTGGGAAGTGCTCCCTGTACTGCTAGCATCAGGATGTCCTTGAGCACCTTTGCTGAGTACTAGCATGCAATAATGTCTTACTAATGGTGAAGAGTCCCTCCTCCTCCCCTGCATGGAAGGAGCCAAGAGGTTGCCCAGAAGCTCTGTGGCACAGGTTAATCTGGAGGTGTTTGAATGAAATGTGCCATCAAGGGTCTGGAGGGAGTGAGCTGTGCATGTACCTCTTGGTCTGCACAATCCTGGCAGGAAGGGACAGAGTTAAGGTGAAGTGTGTGGCACAGGCTGGCCACATACTTTGACTGCAACTGAAGAAAGTGTGAGACCTCTACCTGAGGTCTTTGCTATGCTATGATCTCCTAGAGCAGCCAGTCAGCTTCATTTACTGACTGGGGGACTCTCTGGCATCTCTGTTACTAAGAGTAGTGGAGAAAGTGAGATACAAAGAGACAGTTAAATATGTCAGATCATCTATCTGCTAAGGTCATTTAGTGATGTACTGAGTTGTGATGTACTAAGTTGGTGATGTACTGAATATAGTCTGGCCAGGTCAGAGCTGCTCTCCCTTTGGGCTTATTTGCAAAGACGCTCCAGTAGTGCACCACCTTTTTTTATCTGATTTTGCAAGTCTTGAGTTTGACTGCTATTGGAGTGTGTGGATTTGTTCTCCTACTCCTGTGGATGTTGCTGTGAGCCCAAGCTGCTTGAATCATTATGCTATGCAGGACATCCATTACCCAGAGACAGGAATGCTCCTCCCAGGTGTTCTTGAAGGTGCACGCATCAGGCAAGAAAGAAACAACCTATAAGATGTGCAAGGGAGATCCTGCATGTGGCTATCACCCAAGGCCATGACTGCAGGGAACCAGAGATCTTTTATTCACAGAGATGCTGTTTCTCTCCAATTGATGTCTTTCTACCTCTCTGACACTAATTATTTCTGGTTCTTTCTACAGCCCTGTGTTTTGCTGCTCCCCAAAAGGCCAGCATCAGATGGTGCACAATATCCTCAGCAGAAGAGAACAAATGCCATAGCCTAAGGGACCACATGCAACAAGAGAACGTTGCATTGGGTTGCCTGCAGAAAGCAACGTACCTTGACTGCATAAAAGCCATTTCGGTGAGTGGGCAGCATCTGTGCTGAGCACTGTGAGGGTGTTTCAGCAGCCTGTTACACCCAGAGAAGGTTGGGGTTTCTTTTGAGTCACCGGTTGATATTTGTGATCCCCCTGTAGAGGACCCACCCACAAGGATTGAGCAGAGACTCTGGGGAAGCATTTTTCCCTCATGTGTCCCTGCTCTTTGCTTATTGACTGAAATGTTTTTCTTGTTTAGAATAATGAAGCAGATGCCATCAGCTTGGACGGTGGTCAGGTTTTTGAGGCAGGCCTTGCCCCCTACAAGCTGAAGCCCATTGTTGCTGAGGTCTACGAGCAAAATGGAGGTACACTTTCATGTAATATTTTTAAGTTGAGTGGTGGTAACAGGCTGATAGTTCAGGGGCCACCCTTTCCATGCAGAGCTCCCACGTTATTTCAGTTGGGTGCCCGAGATATTGCCCCTGGCTTCCAGATCCCAGAGAAAAAGGGGGGGGTGTGGGTGTGTGGGGTGAGAGTGTGTGCCCCATTTCTGGCATTAGCTGCAATGAAAGTCACTGAATCATAGGTCTCCTGAAGCATGGCATAAAAACTGTGTTGGTCCCAGAGATCACCTGCTTTCAGTGACCTTGAACTACATGGGTAAAACACTGAGCTAGACAGCACAGATAACCTGTGTGTGTCTTCCTGTGCAATCATCAAAGCAGAAAAAAAGATTAAAGTAGCAATAGCATTGCCATTAGTGGTTGTGGAGGAACATACAGTTGACATTGCTGCAGCAAGAGGTGCAGGCAATGCACAGAAAAAAAGAAGTATAAAAAGTGCTCTGCAGCAATTCCTTCTGATAAGCATTAGCTCCATTGCTCCATCCCTACTCATGCTCTGTACCATCCTTCGTCTCTCCTATCTTTTTCTCGGGAGCCAAACATACAGATATATGATATTTTAGTAAGATACTACTTCTCCAGTTCCATCCCCTCCGAAGCTCCCAATCAATTTTGACCTCTGCCCTGGAGCTCAGACAGTTTCTACACATATTCATGATTAAAGCAATGTGGAAGAGCCATTCCCAATATAGTAGCTAACAAATTACAGATATTAAATGGAAAGATGTGGTATCTACTGCCCCTAAAACTCAGTAATTTTATTCGTATGTAGCATGTGATGGACTATGTAAAAATTTGAAGGCTAAATGTGGAAGTTCAGTCTTGCAAGGCTTACATGTATACTTCAGTAGGCAACAGCATTTGGGAAACAACTTGACAAAGAAGATTTACCAAAAAGACTTGTTGAAGCATCCTTACAAAACTACAGGCATGTCTAATGTCTGTCTAGTGGCAAAGCATTTTGTGTGTGATAGTATTTCCAGATTGCTTATCATTGCAAATTGTGAGGTACAGTGTTGGTTTGATATCGGCAGTGTAGTTCACCCCTAAGAAAATGGGAAGACCATACTGCTAGTTATTTGGAAGTGAAGGACTTTATTCTCTGAAACTGGGGGTTGGCAGGATTTGAAATGTTCCTGAGTCCCACTTTTTCCTTGCTTTTCTGTTTTTTCCTGCACTGCAGGCTCCACAACCAGCTACTATGCTGTGGCAGTCGTGAAGAAAGGAACAGGCTTCACAATAAATGACTTGCAGGGCAAGACCTCATGTCACACAGGCTTGGGCAGGTCTGCTGGCTGGAACATCCCGATTGGGACACTCCTCCGCCAGGGACATATCAAGTGGGATGGCAAAGACTCAGGCTCCATTGAGCAAGGTGAGATGGGAAACTGTGAGATAAATTGGCTGGAGCTAAGCTGGTGGTACAGTGAAAGTGATGTTGCCAGATCTATGGAGATCCAGAGATGGCTCATGGAGCAGTCAAGTCATTGGCACTCTTTGTGCATCCCCTCCCTTTCAGGTCCTTGTAAAACTGAATTTTAGACTAACCATTACTTCTTTCTCTTCCATAGCGGTGGCCAACTTTTTCTCTGCCAGCTGTGTGCCTGGTGCCACTACTGAACAAAAGCTGTGCCGTCAGTGTAAGGGGGACTCCAAAACCAAATGCTCCCGCACGGCACCTTATTCTGGATATTCTGGAGCTTTTCAGTGAGTGAAAGTTATTTTTCCTTTGGGAAAATATTCTAGCCTTGTTTTTGTTATTCATACCAGCTTTTGTTATAGTAGGGAGGGCTGTGTTGTAACCAGGGTTCCTGAGGAAACTGAATTTATAGCACAACTGGGAGTGCTGGTAATTAAAGGTCCAATTAGTAATAACTGGCAGGCAGCTAGTGGGAGATGACAGAGGAAATGCTAAGTCTAACTAGGCTTCTTGAGCGTTACTTCTTTGCCATTACATTTTCTTCCCTGACAGCATAGCATTTTGGGAGGAAGACCACTGCTCTGGTTGCAGTGTGTGCTGAAGTAATTTCCAGAAACAGTAGATAGGGAGCTAGAATGTCTGGTTTTTTTAACATCCCTTCTGTTCCTCCCACCTGCAGCTGTCTGAAAGATGGAAAAGGAGACGTGGCTTTTGTGAAACACACAACTGTTCAAGGTAGACCTGCAAGATCACTCATTTCTCTCCTTTCTAGTCCAACCTCTTGCTGCTACTCTGTCCTGTAATTAGACTACACTGTGCAGGCTTTCATTCCTCTCCAGGTTTGCCCTAAACCTCTTCTCCTTTTATCTTTAGAAACATGTTTTGCACACTGTGGACTGACTCATCCTTGTTATTGAGAAATATGATGATGGTGGGGTCCACTTTTTCTTCTTGGAGTTTCTTCTTTGAAGAAGGAAAATCTGCTTAAGTTCAATAGTGTTATCATTGGTGCCACATCTCAGGGCCAGCTGTACTGTTATCACAGCAAACACAGGATGAGAGGTGGAGGCAATTATGCTCACCCATCCCTCTGGGAGGGATTTTGGAGGGAATTCAGCCCACAGCAAGAGCTCACTAACTCTACACTTCTTGGAGATGGAAGATGGCCTGGCATGCGCAGGACCTGCAGTGAGCTCAGTCCTGGTCAGGCACACTCATCCTGTGAGGAGATGCTCGGGGTGGTGGGCTTGATCAGCCTGGGAAGAGATGGCTTTGGGAGACCTCAGAGCAGCCTGCCTGTACTTACAAGGAGGCTAGTAAGAAGGTGGAGCCAAGACCTTTATGGAGGTGGACAAGGGAAAGATGAGAGACAATAATCATAAACAGAAACAGGAGAGTTTTGGACCAGATAGAAGGGGAAATGTTTTCCCTTGAGGACAATCAAGTAGTGGGACAGGTTACTCAGAACAGCTGTGCACTCTCCATCCTTGAAGGTTTTTAAGATCTACCTAAAGCAACCTGGTCTACCCCTGCTTTGAGCAAGGTGCTTGGGCCAGGGAGCTTCAGAGGTCCTTTCCCACCTGAATTCTCCTGTAATCCTGTGATCTCAGACCTGAGCTCTGTTTTCAGCCTTGACATTGGCTACCTACTTGCCCTCACAGGCCATGTGCAGCTCCTGACCTGTTCAATCCATTTGTATGATGTTTGTAAATCTATTTTGTGTTTTTATCCATTGTACATGTCAAGGTGTCTAGGCACTACTGCCGTGTAAATCCTCTCACTGTCAGGTTAGTTATGTCAGAGGCAGAGATAATCTTTCACAGGCACATGTATTCTCCTTTTCCACATTGCCTTTGTATGACCATGATAACCCTTTGCAAAGAGGGTGCATGCAATCTGTGTTACGAAAAACATTCTGCCCTGAGCATCAGCAGAAATAAATTCATTACAAAGCTGCCCTGACTGGCTTTTCTGTCTATTTTCATGGTGATACAATTCATGATTCCTCCCTTTCTCCAGAAAATGCCCCAGATGAGAAGGATGAGTATGAGCTCCTGTGTCTGGATGGCAACCGTCAGCCTGTGGACAACTACAAAGCCTGTCACTGGGCTAAGGTGCCTGCTCATGCTGTTGTGGCTCGAGATGATAGCAAGGTTGATGACATATGGAACTTCCTGTCAAAAGCACAGGTATCAACAAGCTCTTCTTTACTTCCCTAGCATCCCCTCTTCTGTCCTCTGACTTTGCTTGCTCTCTCCAGCTTTCCAAGAGCTTTGATATGGTCATTTGCAGATTATTTTCCCTCATGACAGGAAAAATTTGGTGTAGGCACAAGCAGCTCCTTCCAGCTCTTTGGGCCACCTGGCAAGAAGGACCCAGTCCTCAAAGACTTGCTTTTCAAAGACTCTGCTATCCAGCTGAAGCGTATCCCGGCACTGATGGATTCCCAGCTCTACCTGGGCTTTGAGTACTACACTGCCATCCAGAGCATTCAGAAAGGTACGCAGGACATTAAACACTAACATCATGTCAGTGTGAGCTGTGTTGAAGAGATGGCATCAGCAAATACATCTAGGCAAAAGGAACATCATTTTTTCCTAAGACAGACAGTATCCTCTGCAGAAGATTTCCTGTGGAAGGTGTTATCTTTAAAATCACACCATCTTCACAAACTTCACTTACATTAACAAAAGGAATTTGTTAACTCCAAAGTCAAACATCATCACCACACCAACAAAGGTGGAAAATTTACACACACTCCACCCCTTGTCCCTTCAGTACAATTACAGCAATAAAAATTGCCCATGGTTAATCAGCTGGTGGTAGAGATTTGGCATAGTCAAAACTGCTGCTTAGAAAAGCCATTTCTGAGACGTAAGAGGAAGGAACATCCCAGGACACCACGTCCAGTATTGGCCACTTGAGGGAAACAGTGAGCTTTATTTCCATCTAGACCCATCAAGCTTTTATTGATGTCCTAGCTGGCTTTCTAGGAGTCAAACATCCCCCAAATAACCTCCAAAACCCGCCTAAAATGTATAGCTGCTCAGAGATCTCTGTGGTAGGCTCAGCCACTGTGGCTTTTATGGAAGGGGGTGCATGGACTTCATGTAACACCAAAACAGATTATTCAAATGCCACTCCACATAAACATAACTAGGTTGTACTTTTCCACCTCAGTCTGGTCTTAGTCTCATGGTTGCCTGGACTATGAGGTCTAGAAAAGTGCAAAAAAATCTCATAGGCAGCAATACCAAGTACTACTAATGCATGGTGGTTTAGTGGTTGTGATATTTCAGCTGACATGAATCTGCGTGAATGGCTTGTGTTATGCAGAAATTCTCCTTTCTGACCTGTAAGTTGATTTTTGAGCATCCTCCAGCTCAAGAATCATTCCTTCTATTCACACCAGCCCAGGGCTTATTAAGCAAGAACCTCTTGCAGTGAGCAGCTGCAGCAGGTTGGTGCGTACAGATGGTTTCGTGGCTGAGTAAAATAGAAATAGAAAGTAGCCTGCTTGT